TTAGACAAAAATTATGCTTAGGGCATGGCCGTGTTTGTATGCGTGGTTTCTCAATCCTCTATGTACAGCGTGAATACTTAGTGGAACCGAGCATAATTCAGCATAATTCAGCATATTTGTTGGCATAATTGTGGCATAATCAAAAGCATAATTTGACGATTGGCCGAGCATAGTCCGCCAATGGCTAAATACGGTCCCTTTGCTGCGTACGTCATTTTAACTGTTCACCAAATATTCTGGCATTGATGGTCCACCATCAGGGTGAAAACAGAAAAAGTGATGCGAAGAAAAAAAACGGATTGAGTAAGTAGATATACATGTACATGTACATGTACATGTACATGTTTTCTTTGAAAGGTATTCCTGACTTTTGTGTCTAGGCTAACCACATCTATGATAGTTTCAATAGTTTGTGTATATGTCAGTTATAGTAGTCCGCAATGCTGCTTTTCTAATTCTCATTATGATTAGCATGCAATGTACTACCCGAAGTACTGAATTTACTTCATCTGTACTCTATATTCTAATGTATCTTCTACCTCTTCTCCCTTACGAACATACTTTCTCATTTTCCATACTTACTTAGGAGACTCCCTTCGATAGGCATCTATTTGCCTCTGGAGGATCCGTGAAATAAAAATCAATCAATCAATCATTGTACGATGAGGTGCCGTAGGAAAGTGATGAGAAGAGTGCGGAAACGAGAAGTGTGTACAGTGTATGTGTGGAGATGGTTGTGTACCAACTAGTACGAGTACGTCCGTTAAACTCGTATGGAGAGCCAAGGATTAAAATTACAAAAAGAGAGGACCATAAGTTTACAAGTTATCCGTTTTGTCCAACACTAACGATTATAAGCAGGATACTGTTGAGTCAAAATGTGAAACAATTAGCACAAAACTGACTGATGTTGGTTGGTTGGTTGGTATATTTTATTTTACTTCGCCAGAATGAGCAGGCATTGCTGCCTTCTTGCCTGGACAAGTGGATTGTCCAAGCTCTCACAAAAAGACGAAGAAAGGAAAGAAATATTACATGAGAGTGTGAAGCATGCAATCTTATATGAGAAAATTCCATTAGAGTGTGACGCATGCATGATGAGGGAGGAGAGATAGAGATAGATAGATAGATACAGCGAGAGAAAGAGAGAGAGATAGATAGAGAGAGGGGAAGAGAGAGAGAAAGAGGAGAGATAGAGAGAGACTGCTTTATTGCCTGGACAAGTGAATTGTCTAAGCTCTCACAAAATGACCAACAACAACAGCAACGCCAACAACAACAGCAACAACAGCAACAACAACGATGACAGCGACAACAACAACAGACCAACAACAACAGCAACGCCAACAACACAGCAGCAACAACAACAGC